TTTTACTCATGACGTTTGTTAAGAAGAAAAAGGGGTTCGCGCGCTGAGGGTTCATGGGCCTGCAGCATAAGCCGTGAGCTTCCACTGAAGCAAGGCTGCCTTGCAAAGGCAGATTTCTAGGTTATGAGCGCCCAAAGAGCCACTGCGGAGCTGGCTAATGGGGTTGCGGGTAATGATGATCCAGCTCCCTCATCGTCGGCGGCTGTTGTGGAAGCCGTCGTACCGGATGTTCAGATGACCTCCCAGGCGCCGTTGGTGCAGCAGCCAGATGTGGGACCTGGTGTGGTGGCGCATGTTGGTGTGCAGAATATAGAGTCTGTGCAGCCGTTCCAGAGTTCTGAGACTGCAGCTGGTGTGGGACAGGCGAAGCCCAAGGCAGCTTCGACGATCGCAGAGCCAGGCGGAAGATCAGATCTGGAGCAAAGAGCTGTGGACAATAGGACTGATGATGCGTCGGGAGGATATATGACTCCTGTGTCTGGAAGTGGGCAAAGGAGTACTGTTTCCCAAGCCTGGATGGGAGGCTTGGAAGTTCCGAGATGGATGATGAGACTGGGGAATTTCCTCAACAATGGTGCGGCAGCAGATTTTGCTCCCAGTCCGTTTCCGGGTGGAAGCCCAATGTATGCTTCACCACCAGGTGGCCCAGCGTTTCGTCTGAGGTCGCCGAGTCGGGCGAGGCCAATATCTGCAGCGCCGACGCCTCCGCCATCGTCCTCCAGTATTTCGGCAGAGGCAATACAAGCAGAGGTGCAGAGACAACTTCATGGTGTCTTGTCCCAGCTCAGGGAGTATGGTCTGAGGAATGAGCAGCTACAGACCCAGTTGACTGAGGCCCAGACACAGCTGAGGGAAGCGCAGGGAGCTGAGCGGCTCACTAACGCTGAAGCTCAAACCGCTGGTGGGTTACTGGGAAGCCTGGCGTTTACTCCCTCAGATCCTGGACTACTCCTGGGTGATCCTCTGCAAGATGCTGTAGGTCCTAACGTACCAAGAGAATCTAGGCGAGAGTTAGGCTATGCTGTACCTCCAGAAGAACCTCCAGTACATCAGCTACCACCTACCCTACCTACGCGACAGGAGCTACATCATGGTGACGGAGGTGGACTTCGAGAGCGTCGGGAGGTACCTCTAGATCCTCGGGTTGAAGGGGGTCCTAAAGTACCTGGAGGGGAATCTACAGGTTACAGCTACGGTGGGTTCGCAAACCAAAGAGCAGCAGAAGCACAAGCTACAATGGCAGATGGAGCTCCAGAGCTGCTGAGGTCATGGTGGAGCTCACGCCCGAGGAGCCAGACGCCCCCACCGAAGGCTACAGCTTCGGGATCGGCAGCGGAATCCCCAACCCTAGATGTTCTTACAAAGGGAATGCAGCAGTTACAGGAGCTACAAGCGCAAGCTCTTACCAGAAGCTCTACGTCACCTACATCGTCAGAGCTAGTGAAGCCAGGAACATCTGCACTAGCGTCACTTCCTACGCTGACGGGTGGCTGTGATGCTGCCTTGGAGTTTCAGGACTGGCTGGAAGTGGCAGCCTCAGTGCTGTCAGATGTGAGTGAGTTGAGTGGATGGTGGTGGAAGTCAGTGATGGAGATTGTCATGAAGACGTATGAGGCATGGCTAAAAGCAACGCCGTTAGAGCGCTTGGGCATCAGCCCCGATGGAGCGGAGGACCTGATGAATGGAAAGTGGTCACGGCTGAACGCACGGGTGGCCTCCATGTTGCTTACAGCGATGGGGCCTGAGATGAGGGCTGAGATGGTGGCGCAGCGTATTTCACAAAGCACTATACGCATGGTCTACAGGCTTCA